TGCAAATAGTTGGCGAGGCCAAGCCACTTGCGCAAGTCCTTTTGGTTCTTTGGAACGGGCCAGTCCACAGTGATCTTAACCTTAGCGGGATCTGCTCGGAGGCCACGCTTCCCAATGAAGCACACTGAAAAGAAAATTTCTTTCGCGCCGAAGCACTTATCGGCATTAGCATACAGCTTACTTGTGCGCATGCACTCGAGCATCGCTCTTAAATGGACGATGTGGTTTTCCTCATCTGTCCTTCCGTACCCCACACGACTATGGACGAAGATGTCGTCGAAGTATGTCTGTCATCGAATTATCGAAGTATGTCTGTGCATATGCCCGATGGGGCCTGAACAACTGCGTCACAAGACAATTAAACCTTGCTGATGCATTTGACACCCTTGGAGCATCACCAGCCACTCACAGAGCATCCCGCTCGGAGTACTTACCGCTGTCAACAGAATATCACTTGCTCTCATGAGCAGTTGGTAATAACCATCGACCAAGTCGAGTGCGCTGTACTTTGTACAGCCAACCATATTGTTCTGGAGAACATTCTTTCTAGAAATTGGCTTTTGTGCCGATATGGTGGCAGCGTTTATAAGCGTGGACGATACGCCACTTACCTTTCGGCTCTCGGACACAAAACGTGCGGGTCGAATTGGGGAGACTTGCTCTCACGCACCATTCCTGCCTCGTGCTTCCCACGGAAAAAGGCGTCCATGACGTCACACTGCATCTTGGGCAGGGACTACTGACGTGTGATGCAGTATTTGGTTCCCGGAACCAGGCCAATCTCATGACGCGCACCTCGGTAATCCCTACCAGAGATAGGACCGACGGCGGGTCTTTGGAGAAGATGTCTCGGAATTCCTTTACCAAAGAATAATACAAATCCGAAAGATCCTTCAGGATTGACGATCCACTCGTGCGTTCAGCACATTCTTGATGTCCTCCAAGACAGCTTAATCAGAAGTGACGACGAGTTAATCTCATCGTTCGGTCTTATAATAACT